CACTGTAGGTTTAGTTATTATAGAATTACTTTGCTTAATTGAATTTTTGACACCACACTCTGGTTGACATAACAATACCCAACACGGTATAAACATTAGGAAGTGAAAACAAATATGCAAGTGATTTTTATATAATATTCTTAAAACAAAATTAACACAGAACACAGATACAAGGGTGAAAATAATGTACTCAGTTGTACTAATACACTTCACATATAGCTGGCCAGTAGATCCAGCTGTGCACAGGCAGAGTGTAGGTAACAGTCGCTCAACTTCACGACAGAGTAGGGAGGGAAAACAAGTCGCCGAGGTGGTGAGAGAGTAAGACTATTCTGGAACCCCAGGGTTAGGGTAGACGTCACCTGTCATAGATGGCGCCCCAACAGCCGGCCATGGTTTTCCACCAATCAGGAGCCATCTCATGACTAGTGTGCTTAATAGTTGACTGTGGGTTAACTAGTGGTTTGGGTAGTGTGAAGTAAGCTGTGTACATAAAGGTGACAATGTAGTGTATATACATGGAAGTGTGACCCGGCTCCTCCAGAAAAATTAGGTCAAATAAGAATGAGCCAAGGTGGATGACCAAAAAACTTAAACATGACATAAGAATAAAGAAAGGAATTTATAAGAAATTAAAGGGAGGGGAGGAGCATCTCAGAAATAGGTATAATGAACTATCTAGGAATGTTAAGAAAAATGTAAGGAAGGCAAAGAGGGACTACGAAATCAGGATAGCAAGAGAATCCAATGCGAATCCCAAGGGATTTTTCCAGGTATATAGACAAAGGTCAAGGACAAAGTGGGACCTTTAAAGTCAGAGAGAGGGGAAGTGATCGATGATAGTGAGAAAATAAGCAAAGCATTAAACAGCTACTTCTTATCAGTTTTCACAGAAGAAATTCACGAGGAAATGCCAGAGGTGGAACTGATATTTAGGGGAAATGAAGAAGAGAAATTAAAGAATATCACTATCAGAAAAGAGGATGTTCTTAAGAAGATAAATAAATTAAAGAAGACAAAATCCCCAGGGCCAGATGAAATTTTCCCTCGAGTTTTGAAAGAGTGTAAGGAACAGAATAGCGGACCCTCGTAAATTTATTTACAAAATCATTAGACACGGGAGTTGTGCCAGACTTGTGGAAACAGGCAAATGTAGTACCCATATTCAAAAAGGGAGACAGAGCATCAGCGTCAAATTACCGGCCGATTAGTTTGACGTCAGTAGTGGGGAAATTTCTTGAATCAATTATAGCAAATAGCATCGATCGCATTTAGAGAAAACAAATTAATCTACGACTCTCAACATGGGTTTACAAAGGAAAATCTTGTCTAACAAATCTGCTGACGTTTTTTAGGAAAAGTCTTCGAGGTAGTAGATAATGACGAAAATTACGATGTTATTTACTTAGACTTTAGCAAAGCGTTTGACAAGAGTACCGCATCAGAGGCTTTGAGAAAAGTTAAGGCTCATGGTATCGAGGGGAAAGTTTTAAATTGGATAAAATCATGGCTCACCGATAGAACGCAGAGGGTCAGCAGCGTAGATGGTGTTAAATCTGAGTGGGGCTGTGTAACCAGTGGGGTTCCCGAGCAGTGGCGTAGCTAGAGTGTGTGCCGCCCGGGGCGGCCCTTGAGTTTGCCCCCCCCCTGTGCCCCCACAAAAAATACATATTGCACAGTGACTCACTCTATATATATATATATATTAAATAGTTTGTGTACCATTATAATATTACTGTACTTTCACATACTCAAATATAGTATGCTTTAAATACACACCAAACATACTTAAACTTTATAAGTAACAGTTAAAGAAAAAGCAAAAACGACATACAGGATAGGGAAAAAAGTGTAAAAAATTAGGACCATCTTTATTTCTGAAATGAAAACTACGACTTTCTACAAAGTAACTGTTCTTGTTTTTTTGTTGGCAAATTCTTCAATGACATTGTCAAAAACTATTTCATCTGTCAATTGTCAGACAAAAGCCACCCCGATCAAAGTAGGGGGCTTTTGTCTGGGTGGCTTTTGTCTGTACCCCAGTGAGGATAGTGTCTTAGTATAAAATCGCAATGCTGTGAAACAAAATCTTAATATTTAATCTCAGTGCCGCAGCAAAAGTCACATCAATATTTTTTAACCAATACTTTAATATTTCTTACCTTATAGTATTATGTCTTCCAACGAAGTAAATAACTGGATCGAAAACACAAGAGAACTTAAAAGTCGTCTAGCCTCCCCTCGTCTTGTCACGCTGGAGACTTGTGCAGAACTGAAGTGAATTGCTTGTAATTGGTGGATTGGTCGGCTGTACATGAACTGATATGACCCGAGACTGCATGGTTTTGCAGCTACTGGAGACGTTAATCCTTCCCTTTGTATCGGCGGCAAGTTAATCCTCGTCGTGTCTGACCTAACACCTGACCCACACCACATGAGCTCACTGGCGTACTTGTTTGAAGTTGTTTCCTTAATCCTCAACAGGCTACAGGTTGTGTGTGTGTGATGATGTGGGTCAGGTGTTAGGTTAGACACGACAAGGATTAACTTGCCGCCGATACAAAGGGATGGATTAACGTCTCCAGTAGCTGCAGATATGGGTGATGAGCAGACCCAAAAGTGCCGGCCGGGGCGGACCGCCCCCCCCCCCTAGCTACCCTAGTGTTCCCGAGGGGTCAGTATTGGGCCCACTCTTGTTCATAATCTACATAAACGATCTAAATACTGAGATCAGCAGTGACATATGCAAGTTTGCGGACGACACCAAAATAAGGCGGCAGATTAATTCAGGGCAGGATTCAAATGCACTACAAGAGGATTTAAATAAACTGCAGGAGTGGTCAGAAAAGTGGCAAATGAAATTCAATACCAGCAAGTGAAGCGTACTTAATATTGGAAGAACAAATACTGTCAATGTATACAGCCTTAACACCTTCAACCTAGAGAAGTCGTCTTGTGAAAGAGACTTAGGTGTATTTGTAAGCCCGGACCTACGGCCTTTAAAACAGTGCGTTAATGTTCGAAATAAGGCAAACAGAGTATTAGGTTTTATATTTCGAAGTGTAAGTAATAAGAGTGCGGAGGTCATATTGCAACTATATCTTGCGCTAGTTAAGCCGCACCTCGATTATGCTGTTCAGTTCTGGTGCCCTTATTATAGAATGGATATCAATTCACTGGAGTCGGTGCAGCGAAGAATGACGAAAATGATTCCGGGACTTGAAACCTTCCATATCAAGATAGATTAAAGAAACTAAACTTGCATTCCCTAGAAAGACGAAGAGTGCGTGGAGATATGATAGAAGTATTTAAGTGGGTGAAAGGAATCAATAAAGAAGATATAGATAAAGTTCTTATAATATCCAATCAGGATAGGACTCGAAGTTACGGATTTAAGTTGGATACGTTTAGGAGGGAGATAGGAAGGAACTGGTTCACAAATAGGGTGGTAGACGAGTGGAAAAAGCTTAGCAACTTTGTAGTAAGTGCTGGAACACTGGAAAGTTTTAAAAGGAGGCAAGATAGATTCATGGATGATAGAGAGTGGTAGTAACTCTAGACAGGAGCTGTCATGCACAGGCCAACCGGCCTGTTGCAGACTCCTTATTTTCTTATGTTCTTATGTTCTTATGTTCTTATGTTCTTATATCCACTCACTACCTCTCTCCCACCCCCCTCTCCAACTGCACTACTCAGTAACCGCCGAAACGTAAATATCTCTTGGTTCTTCTCCCCCTGTTGAGCGCACACGTTCAAGAAGCAGCAGAAGTCGAATGTATACACCCATAAATGCAACCTATATAGCGGTACCAGACCAGTTGACCGTAGGTGAAGCCCCCTCCAAATGACAAAGTTTTACTACAGGGCGCACCATCGCACCGCGTACAGTGCGCGATGTACAAGTTCGTCACCATCTGGATTTGCTTCAATTATCCTACCTAAGGGCCAATGATGTCTATGTGTGTGCTCTCCAGCGACAATGACCATGTCGTTGAGTTGAAACTTTCGTCGTGGAGTGAGAACTGTTTTTGGCGACTGTGCAGCAGAGACAGGTCATCCAACGTTTCCAGAACTGGTCCTCTAGAAACTGGGCATGTTTCCTTTGTCTGCAATAAGATTCTTCAGTTCGCAGGCCACCTAAAGGCAGACCGCGTTTCGATCCCGGGCGCAAGAGGTGGTTGGGCATAGTTTCCTCCAGATCGTTGACGTCTTCCGACACTGGAGTAATAGGCCGCTCGTTCACCACTGCTTCCACTTCGCAGAAGAGCGTCTACAGGCGTTTGTCGTCTCATGTGTGAAGCTGTGGGTGGGTTGAAAATCCAGTCTATCTGTTTCCTTAGGAGGGTGTCCCGAATGTGTTCATCACACTCCCAGCTCCGTGCTGCTGTTCTCAGTTCCTTGTCTGCACCGACTATGTTCGTCTCGTTGTCCGATCGTATTCGTTCTGGAGTGCCTCGCCGTGATGAAAATCTTACTATGGCGTTGATGAAAGCGAGGACTTCAAGATATACAGCACGGGTTGTGAGGCACGTGAACAAGCACCCCCATCTCTTAGGTCGTTTACGTCCTTGTTTAATGGTGAATGGTTCGAAGCAGTCCGTCCCTGTGTAAGTAAACGGAGGTTTAGCTGGAGTAACACGGTCAACCGGTAATTCAGCTTGGCGCTGTTGTGTGGGCTTCCAGTTGTTCCGGCGACATACCACGCAGTGCCTGGTGATTTTTGTTTAGTATTCCGCGTGCCCTGGGAATCCAAAAATTTTGCTGTAAACACGCTAGAGTATGTTCCCTCCCGGAGTGTCCGGCCTGATTTTCATGCACGTCCCGCACTGTGATGCCAGTGACATGATGCTGGAATGGAAGCAAGATGGGATGTTGGCTTCCTTGGCTGATAGGGGTGTTCCTTATCTGACCGCCTACTCTGATGAGTCCCTCCTCGTCTAGGAACGGCTCTAGTCTGTAGATTCCACTCTGTTTCCTTAACCCACTCCCTGCCATCGTCTTTATGTCGTCCTGATACCATTCCTCTTGCACTGAGCGTAAAATGACAACTTTGCCCTCTCTAACTCGGCTACGTGTAATCCCCTTTGCATGTCCCGCCGTTGGTCCCTTCCTTCTCTTAGCCATTTAGCAAACCTCCTTTGCAATGCCACTCCTTTCAGTAGACGAAGCCATGATGAACACCTTGCCCACAGTGCTTGCACCTCTTGTGTGGGTGTCGTGGTCGCACTACTAGTCGTCAAGACGGATATGTTCCGTTTCACCTCCACTTCACCACTCAAGTCCATGGTTAGTTTTAACCTCTCTGGCCAGTGTTCCTCTCCCTTACGCAAAAAGTCTGGTCCTTGTATCCACCGGCCGCCGTCGGTCATTTCCTCCACAGAGAGTCCACGTGTTGCATCAATTACTGGGTTCAGTGACGTGTTTACAGGCCTCCAATGATTTGTCTCTGAGAGTTCCTGTATAACAGCCACTCGGTTCGCCACGAAAGTGTGGAACCGACGACTGATGTTTGCGATGTATTGGAGAATCAACATGTTGTCCGTCCAAAAGAACGACTCTTCGACTTTCAACTCCAGCTCTTGCCTTATCATCTGGTCAGCGTTGACAGCTAAGACAGCTGCACTCAGCTCTAGTCGGAGAGTAGTTTGTTGTTTGAGGTGAGCTAACTTTGCTTTACCAAATATGAAGGAACAATGGATATTTCCTTCAGTGTCCGTCAGTCTCAAGTATGATGCCAGGCCATACGCCACTTGCGAAGCGTCGCAAAAGCTATGCAGCTGCACTGACACGGTTCGACCATGATCTCTAGGTTTGTAAAACCGAGGAACACCGAGTGTCGCCAGGCGCGGCAATTTCTCGAACCACGCGTTCCACGCCACGTTATTATGCTCCAGTAGTGGTTCGTCCCATCCTCTTCTTCGTCGGCATTCATCTTGGAACAACAGTTTCGCCTTAATGACAAACGGAGCTATGAAGCCAAGAGGGTCGTAGACCGAGCTGACAACGCTCAGAAGTCCTCTTTTTGTGGCAGGCTTCCTTTGAACTTGAGTTTTGACAGCAAACTGATCGCTTTCCAAGTCCCATGTGACTCCTAAGGATCGTTACACCGGTAGTAGCTGTTGGCTCAGGTTGAGTTCCTTTATGCCAACGTGTCTCTCCTCAGACGGGATGGAACGCAGAACTTCCTTGTGATTACTTGCCCATTTCGTGTGGCGGAAGCCTCCCCTTTTGAGCAATTGTCGTAGGTGCTGTGACATTTCCGTTGCTTCACTCAATGATTCAAGTGAGAGAAGTAAGTCTTCCACGTAGAAGTTGCATTCTGTCCAATCAAGACTAACTACACCCCTCAAAGAGATGAACCTTCATTCTATACAAGCGTGGAGCATGAGTCAAATCTTCACTGTCCCACCACAAAAACCTCAGGGCGCCTCTATGTTCAGGTGTGACTCTAATTTGGTGGAACATGACCTCAATATCTGCCATGATTGCTGTCCTTCCCTGGGGAAATCGTATCAGGATACCTAACAGTTTGTTGTTGAGGTCTGGTCCTTGGAGCACTTGACTGTTCAACGACGTGTTGGCATAAACAGAGGCGCAATCAAAGACGATGAGTATTTTGTCTGGCTTCTTGGGATTCAACACAGGGAGATGTGGGAGGAACCATGTTTTTCCTGGGTTTGCAGTGAGTTGGGATGCGGGAACCAATTCGGCGTAGTCCTTACACAGCAATTGCTTCATCTCTTCAGCGTAGCGCTGGTAAAGCCTTGTATTCTTCGTCAGTCTTCCCTTTAAGCTCTTCAGTTGCTGTTCAGCCATGGCTTTGTTGTTGGGGAGGTCCGGGTATTCCTTCCTAAATGGTACTGGGAATTGATAGTGGTTTCCCACCCTGGTGCCATAGAGTGTCCACATTTCTAGCATTTTCTTGTCTTCCAACGAGAGGGCTACACTTCCATCGCCTCTGGAGTGATCGCCTTCTAGCTCCGAAAGAAGTCTGACCTGCCTCTCCAAGTGCGTCTCCAGAACTTCGTTGCTCCGTATCGTCAGGCATTCTGTAGCGTTAGGTGCCATTTGGTATCCCACGGGTCCGGTCACCGTCCAACCTAGGCGCGTTCGTACAGCGAAAGGAGCTCCGCCACCTCCTACTCTGACCTCCAAAGGTATTAATGAGTACGGAACGTCTTGATCAATTAGCAATTCCACAGAACAGTCCTGGTCGGGCACTGGAACCCCTCTGAGGTGTTTCCATCTCGAGACGTCTTGTGCTGTGGCTACTGCTTCTTGCAGCATTGCTGGGAAATCTTCGATGATTAGGACCTTTGGAAAGGAAGCCTGTTCACCCTTCTCAGGACAGCGCTGCGGGCCTCAAGATCAGCCTCGGCAGCCCACTGGGTCGATTTGTACATCAGCGTTCCAATGGATAGTCGCACCTTCTCGCCTCTTACGCCCATCTTGTTTGCTAACTTCCGAGTACAGAACGATCTGTCGCTACCGGAGTCGAGGAGCGCCCGTGTCCTGATCGTCTTTCCCGACCGGTTTCCGGCCCCTTTACTCTGACATTCATCACCTGCAAGACGACCTAAGGCGTACTTGGTTGTCAAACGTCGTCGTCATCCTGCACCTTAACCCACTTATTGCTTGACCCGATTGCGTATGCACTGCTCCTTTGCTCAGATTTTGGGTGACCAAAACGCTCGCTGTCTTCCCGCACAGTCCTATATGGTCGTATAGCGGAACTGTACGACTCTGGATCCCGTTCTCTTTTGGGTGACCGCTTCTCTGTCGGTTCCCTTTTTACCTCTTTGTAGAAACTCCGTTTTTTTTTTCGCCCTGCGCTTGTCGACTTGGACCCAATGCCGCCCTGTCTGCTGCACTCACCCAACTTCTACCAGTCGTTGAATATCGTCGATAACTCCCTTGCTCTTTATCTTAGGATGCAACCACTTGGAGTGTCTCCCTTCGCATCCTGAGACACCACACCGGAATCAAGACTTACACTCAGCCACCAAGAGACTGTCTTTCAAACAAAGGTAACAGCATTGTAATTTCCTCGCTGTTTCACGTCGTGTAGGTATGTCCATGTTCCTGAAGTCTCGACACACTAATAAGACGTGCGATCCAGACCATAGGGGACACGTTTCATCTCCATCTTCAGTCTTCACGGGCGCTCTTTGATCAGTGGTAACTGCCATTCCCACGGCTCGTCTACTTGAAAACTTGTTCTGGGAGGGCGGGAGAGACTGTTCTTTCTTACCCCGGCTTCACTGTCGTCCCTTCCTTTAAAGAGTATGTTCTTTGCTCTGTCCGCATGTTTCTGTATAAACTCTTGTAGCCAGTGTATTCCGGGGTACGACCCGTGACGTTCGTGATGCGCGTGCAGTTCCTCCTCGCACAGATTCCATCGGATCTTTGGCAACCTTGCTGCTATGTTTCGGATGCACAACCAAGAGTCCAGCTTGCCTATCATAAGCCATGATATTGAAGGGAATTCCTCTTTTGAATTCCTTACAGACCATTAGATTGGCAAGGTCATCAAAAGTGTCAGTTTGAGTAGTCTTAAGCCACATTTGAAAAGTACATAATTTTTCAGTACCAAATTGAACATGTGTCTGACGGTATGATTCTGGAGTTATAGCATAAGCATTTAACATACTGTCTTTGATAAACTCGAAATCAGAATAATCCTCTAGACTATTAAAGACTTGAGCTGCTTTCCCAGTGAGTTTATTCTGAAGTAGCCAAATCCACTCATCCTTGGGCCACTTATAGTGGAGAGCTGTACGCTCAAACAAACACATTGAAGACTCCGGATCTGATTCATCAAAATTAGGGACCAAATTTATGTTCCGAGACCAATAAAAAAGACTTTGAGTTTCTCTTTTGGCATGGTTTTGGATTTCGATTACTCTCATTTCATGTTCTCTCTCCTTTTCTCTCAATTCTCTCATCTTCTCTTTTATTTATCTCCTTCTCAAACTTCTCTCGTTCAAATAACAATTTTTCTCTTGCAGGTTAACTAAGGTTTGAGCTCTCATACTTACTTTCTCCGTTGTCTCCAGTTGAAGAGGAGAACCTACCACATTTTCTTTGAAGTCCCCAGGACTAGTAATGAGTCTAACAGCTTCTTCAGGAAGAAGCTCACTTGAGATTAATCCTTGGACAACTACTTCTTCTAATCTGTCTTTACGCAAACTTGTTGAGACTGGAATTTCAAAATAATCCGCTATAGTTTTCCGGTCTGCTTTCCTCAGGTCTGCACCTTCGAGTTTGTCAACAGTAGGATTAACTATGAAATCAGCAGTATCGAATCTAGACATGATTATTGATCAAGTAATTAAAAAACTTTAAAAAATCTTAGTCTTGTCAAAATAAGAGGAATGCCCTTTCAAACCACTTGCATATCTTAACTCAGAAGAAGAGGCTGCTCATCAATCATTCTGGTATTTTATGTAAAGTACACCAATAGTAAAAGATAGGATTGTAGATCCTGTGAAATTTTTATGCTTACGGGGTAAGAATACTGATTTGGAATTCATGGATGATAGTGCCCTTCGTCTACCATGGTAAGGGAAATGTGTGAAAAAAGGCGCTCAGTAGGCATGTCTTACCAAAATAAATACTGCTTTGAGGAAGAGAAGTGTAACAAAAGTTACAAGTCTACTTAGAGAAACGCCCTGCTCAAAACTGAAAGTAAACATCCTAATTACCCACAGATTTCAGCCGCCTTCTACGCTTGGTAAGAAACCCTGTCCCATTTATTACAAAAGGGAAATGTCAGTAAATCCAAGCTTATTCTGTTTGATGAAATAATTTCACAGGCTCAAGCATTCCATTATTGTGACTAATGTCCAATTTAAGCATTAGAGGGTATGATGAATTAGTGTTAACCAAAATTACATTAAAATTCGTTTTAAGAACTAACATGTATGGAGTTCACTCTCGTTATTGACAGTTTTGACAAACTAACGTCGAAAAAACGGGTCTTATTCAATGTAAACATTCATGGCTACAACCACATCCGAATTAGATTACTTGGATCTTATTGATGTTACCGGTATTACCCTATTATGAATATAAACACTATTACTTAACACACTACAACTGCATCGTGATTTATCGACTTAAATGACTGGCCAAATCAATCACTACCTCTGAATCCAAGTGCATTTACAGGAGGCTTAACACTATGTAAACAACCATATTAAGTCAATGCACTGTAAGCAATCAGAAAAGTGTTCTCAGATAAAAATAAATTGGACTACCAAAACAGCCAGAAATATTACATAATACCCACTAAATACTGTCCTGTACTGTTGGCATGTAACATCAAGTTACATGAAGTAATTAATATGAAACAAGGTGAAACTCAATACAAACGGTAAGTGAACAATTAGCTCCCGGACAGGTAACCCATATGTTACGGAAACTGAGCAACTAAGAAGGCAAATGTCTTAAGTTCCTTTACTTTAACTTTTACTTCTACTTTAATCTCAAAAAATTTAATGATTTTGTAGGGGTATCGAGATATTAATGTTGTCTAGCACTCAGGATGGAAAGAAACTCTAATGTGGTTTTCTTATATAATATATATAAGTTATATGATAGACAGTCTGGTGCTGGAGATGCCGTGTGGTGGGGAGCAGCTCAGTAGAAGACGTTCGGGAGTATCGTGTTGAAGGAGGTAGATGTGCAGGAGCTTCGTTAGAGAAGGTGTTGCCTGTAGCTGGCCTCCTGGTTGAATGAAATGTTAACAGCGTGGAGCTTGCTGGAGGAGATGTTGCTTGTTCAGGAAGAATGGTCAGAATGAATCTCAATGGAGAGACAGAGCTTATATACCCCGCAGCAGCCGCTATGAGTCATGGTGGGAAAACCCGAGAAGTAGCCGGTGAATAGTTTCGTTGCTAAGATACGCTAACATCTGGTTGGTTGCTAGGGAAGGCGGCACATTGGAATGTGATAGCAGGTGGTGGGCTGCTACGCAGTTAGTTTGTAGAGGAGACGTCCACTACAATACTCCCCCTCCCCTCCAGGCGGTGTAGGAGACTTGTTGATTGTAGAGTTGCTTAGCACATGTGAGGAAGACCGGGCGGTGCATGCCTCATGTGAGACAACGGCGATGGCGTGATGAGCCGATCGCTGAAATACAACTGTCTAGATACACACGATCTGTGGGAGAAGGGAGAAAAAGGGTGTGTGGAGGCGATGAATGTTGTTCTTCCCTCACGACAGGTACAGGGTCGTCAGATGCGCCTGCTGGGGTGTGTGTGGGCCTGGATCAGGAGCAGGGGCTGGGTCAGCAGAAGCGGATTAGGGCTCGTGACAGCAGCTGGGTCCACGACAGCAGCAGGGTGCAGGACATTAGCAGGGAGTACCTGAGGGAGAAAAGAGGGGGTGTGGAGGCGATGGATGTTGTGTGCTTCCCTCACGGCAGGTACTGCTGGGTCGGCGTCTGAGGCAGGACGGGTGTGCTGGGGTCGTCAGAATGTGGTGCGTGGGGCAGGAAGAGGAGCCGGTGTCTGCTTGAAGACTGGGAGCGTGATCAGTGTCTCCTCCATCCTGTGTGAGTGCTAATCTCCGGGAGTCACCATTGTAGGAGTATCGAGATATTAATGTTGTCTAGCACTCAGGATGGAAAGAAACTCTAATGTGGTTTTCTTATATAATATATATAAGTTATATGATAGACAGTCTGGTGCTGGAGATGCAGTGTGGTGGGGAGCAGCTCAGTAGAAGACGTTCGGGAGTATCGTGTTGAAGGAGGTAGATGTGCAGGAGCTTCGTTAGAGAAGGTGTTGCCTGTTGCTGGCCTCCTGGTTGAATGAAATGTTAACAGCGTGGAGCTTGCTGGAGGAGATGTTGCTTGTTCAAGAAGAATGGTCAGAATGAATCTCAATGGAGAGACAGAGCTTATATACCCCGCAGCAGCCGCTATGAGTCATGGTGGGAAAACCCGAGAAGTAGCCCGTGAATAGTTTCGTTGCTAAGATACGGTAACATCTGGTTGGTTGCTAGGGAAGGCGGCACATTGGAATGTGATAGCAGGTGGTGTGCAGCTACGCAGTTAGTTTGTAGAGGAGACGTCCACTACAATTTCTTTACCTGTGTGTGTCTAGGGTTTTGGGTCCGCAACCCCTATTTTTCCAACCGCATCGGCAGGCTGAGTGACGTCCAAATTTTGTACTGCTTGAAGACAGTTTCACATTTCCATATTTTATATTGCTAAATGTAATGTTCCCTATTTTTTTTTTTTTTACAGAATATTAAACTAGGCTAGTGACTATTGCTATTAT